AACTGCCAGGTGGTTTTGGCTTTATTTCCCTTTCTCGTTACGTTTCAATTTCTCATTATGTTTCCAGGTTCCAGTTAGAGGCTACATAGGAAAAAGCAACTTACCCTCATCGATACTGGTGAAACATGTCGATGCTGGCCTGCTGTTTTCTGGAAATACCATAGGATTCTTTTTAAAAACTATTCTAGACATGGTTAGAAGCGAAGTGTAGATAGGACCTTCTCGATTTGTGATGGTTCTCTTACAGCTATTCCTATTCCATCCAATTTACAAATGGTTATTTAATTAGTAATCTAGACTGTACAGAACAGATTCATTCATCTCCTCATATGACAGATATAAAACATTACAATAGGCTTAAGTGTTGTCACAGTCAATATTTCACATAATTAGAACAGGTCGCTAAATATCTTTGGCCCTGCGTTATTGATGGTTTAATGAATAGACTACTTATCCGTTGAGACCATCTGTTTAAATATAGTTCTTGCCCCAGATGAGATAGTTCAGAGCTTTCAAATAACTGTCATCCTTTTGCTAGAATCAAACCAGTGGTTAAGTATCTATTCAGCTCGCATAGAAGGTCAGTATTTTCGTTGCAATCCAACTGGCACAAAGTCTGTGACAACTTAATATCAGTGTTTATCATGTTTCTGCATCTTCAGGCCTGAAACCAAAGTTATTTTAACTTCAGATTATTTGCAGGGAAGCTTTTTTGACCCAGTTCCATTTGGCAGGAAAATAAGTCCTCCTTTTTAATTTCATATCATTAAGCTGAATACAGCTATCTCAAAAGTTCAGTGAGATTTATTTCTGCCTGACATGTTCTTTTATTCCAAAGTGGAAAACAAGCGCAGACAAAGAATCAGCTAACAAAATGGTGGAACTGTCTCCTACCTGGATTTTTCTTTTGTAGAAAGACTGCACCTTGAAATTTAATATTACATGAAAGTTTGAAACAATCCTTTTAAGAGCCATCAGTCTGACCTTTTAAATTTGTGAAGGAGCAGCTAGTCCTTCCTTATTGCAAGAATCCCCTCGCCTAAATACCTGGTGTCAATGGACAAAACTGTGTCTTTGCATTGGGCTCTGTATTTCTCTGTCTGCGCATATGACCAAAGATACAGGGCCAACTGGTCATGCCTGGAGATACCCCACGGGAGAGCTCTCAGACTTCAGAAGCATTCCCTGCCTCGTAATTCCCTCCAGCTCGTGTTATCCTCCTACAGCTCAGTGAGCATCACACAATCTCAGAGCGCTCACAAATGCCCACAATTTGCAATTCCCATTGCAAAAGCCTCCTGTCAATGATTATAGGCCTAGGGTAGGACAGCGCTCTCTGGAAGGCTCTCTGCTCCTGCAAGGTATCAAAATAAGACATTCACTTCAGGGAACACTTTGGAAAGTGTTACAGCGATGCACTTTCTGGTATTTAAGACACTGCTGATATCTTGGCACAGAAGTAAGAAATGCAGCCTATTGAATCAGCAAACGGTTGCGTTCTACGTGACGTGAAGCAGCAGGCTGGTGCTGCGCTGCAGCCGGGCGTAAAGTGGATGCAGCGCTGAGGCTTGGAAGGTGAAGCGGGGCCGCGTTCGGTCCTGGCTCTACGCGCCACTGGAGCGATGTCCTGTGTTCCCCTACGCCAAAAAACCCCGCACAGTATCAGTGGAAAATCAAAGTAGTTGTACGGTGCTTGAGACTTGTGCAGCTAAATGAATTTTTCAGGCTTCTGGCTCTCTCTTCAGGCTCTTATCAGATTAGTGCAGATGGAGGAAATATGGAAATACTTGAATGGCAGATATTTACCATGCTCTTTAAAAAGGAGAAGGAGGAAAAAAGCAAGCAACTTGAGCAAACATAAATTTATGTAATTGTCTTAAAAAAAAAAAAAACTAAATAGCTTAGCTGTTGTTGGGATTTGCCTAAGGGATTGCCATGAATGAGTTACACAACTGAACATTCATTCATCAACTGGTTCTTTGCAAAACCATATGGCTCCTTGCAGGATTTCTTTAAATATTATGCATAGATATTAAATTGGTGCCTTTGTAGCTGTTAAGTCTGTGGCTTCAGGCTCGTTTTGAAGAACTGTTTCTAGATAGTAAAGCAATGTTAATTTTGCAAGCAATAGCCTAATAGAAAGCAGTTGTTCAGGCACTTTCAAACAAATTAAGAAATAGAAAAATAAGAAATCTTGAAGGAGTATACTGATCTAAACTTTAAAGATTAACTATGCCATTGTATGTGATTTTCACATGAACTGTAGGACATCCATTTTACTAGATAGAAGGCAATGAGGAAAAGAGAAACATTATTTAAAATGTCATTGCTTTCATGTATCAATTCAGAAACAACAGAACTTCTGCAAAATGCATACGTTAATTTACCGCAGTAAATATATGTGAAACAGAGTTCACTCCTATCACAGAAACCAGTACAGACAGCTGCAATAAGAATTCACGTGTGTTACCTTCAACGCGTGCCTTAACAGTGGAGTACCAAGCAAGTACCTTTATAGTACCCGGCCAGGTTTTCAAAAGGGAATAATTGTTTTAAACATCTCTGGTTTGGGGGATGTTCAAAACGGGCACCTGCAGAGGCTTGATCTTTCCCAATGAGTAATCAGCACTTTTGGAGATGGGAGCCCTGTAGGACATTTCTAGTTGGGGATGTAAAAATGAAAGCAGGCCAGGTGATGCTAAGGGCGAATTCAGGGCAGCCCCGTGATCTCCAGTAGCTAAACTATGTTCTTGGTTAGTGCAGAGAGACTGCAATAGGGACGGGTCTTCTAGCTTCTCTCTCTACACAGGTGACCCTAAGCATCGGGCCGCGGGCCGGGCACGTGCCCTCAGCAAACAGCTGCATGCGGCGTAAAAACACTGGATGCTTTCCCTCATGCGGGAAGGGTGGAAGGAGCACGTTGGCAGGGGTTAAGCCCAGCATTCAGACTGTAACTTCCCCTTTGCAGGGATGCAGGCAGTGCTGCGGCTTCTCTCATATGGCCATCATCCACACAGTAAATGTCTGTGGTCAGCGCACCAAAAACCAGGCCGCCCTGCTGTCTCTGGCAAGCGTGGTCGTGTACTTGGCACGGAGCTGCAGGGCTCTGTGTTGTTGAATGTGACGTGGGAAGGGTCGCTCGTGCATGAGAGGTTCACGTCGCGTTGTGATGCTGGTTTATCTGGGGCTTTGTGAGGGTGACTAGTACTGGCTGTTTCAGAGGAGTTGCATGCAGTAGTTACGGAATGATCTATCTATATTAAAAGACCTTTTGAAACCCCTCATCTGGTGACTTGACTTAAATTTAACCTCATAGTTTAAAGCAGAAGTTTTCAGCCTTCCCAGTTTTCAAATCTCACTTGGCGCCTCTGGGTGTGAAGAGGAACAACTACAAGACATAATAACAATCCATGGGGCATTACACATCAGATTTCCAGGCTTCTTTTTTCTTTCATCTGTATTAATCTCTTTCTCAGTATTCTCTGGCCCCTCACTATTTGGTTCCTGATGGGTTTCACCTAACCTGTGCAGCACATCATCAAAGTGCCTCGGACCACTGCAATGGGCCACCCACCTGCTGCTGCCACTTTGGCTACAGTGCATCAAAACGCGAGGAGGGAAAAGATCAGAAAGTTGCGTGCGTGACTTGCATAGAAAGGCGAGGAAAAGTGAAGCTATGATATTCTGTTACAAAGCTTGCAGATGCCTTCCACAAATAGGGACATATTTACCCATGTTTTCTCTTCCTGTTTGGAATGGGCTTAATAGCCACATCCAGTATAAAAGATGTTGCGACCCAGGGCTTTGGTAGGGAAAAGGTTTTACGCTTGCATCGTGGTTACAGATTGGGGTACCAATGCGGAGGGAGACTTAAGCAGCTGACTTGAGCCTGTGAGCATTACAGTTTAAGAATTCATTTTTCCTATGATTGTACGCAGTTCAGGAGGGACAACCCTTCAGCAGAACAAGCAATGCTTTAACGGGGACGGTCATGGGTGGACCAGCAACACCTTGCTCGATAAAAGTGCAGGCAGGCAGCTTGGGCTGCAGGTCCTGGGCGCTGCCACCTGACGGACATCTGTTAAGAAGTCACGTTAGCACACAGGAATTTCCAGTGACAGCGGGCACCTTCGCGTTCTGCTGAGCCCAGCTTTTCTAAACTAGATTAACATCGTTGGAGGTAATAGGTCCACAGGGTTAGCGATAACGTTAGCTCTGAGGTTCCCAAGTGGGAGGCATCAGAGAAACACAGTTGCGCTCTGATACGTCCCTCGAAAGACCCCATCAGCGGGTTTTGTTCACCGTTCTCTCCCCTCCCAGGCCTAACTCGCTCCTATGAGCCGTTTTACTCGGGCTCCGCCGTTAACGGTCCCCCCCATCTGTAACGTTTTACTCGGGCTCCGCCGTTAACGGTCCCCCCCATCTGTAACGTTTTACTCGGGCTCCGCCGTTAACGGGCCCCCCC